TCCTAAATAAGCTTTTTGTGTCAACATCATTTAGCCTTCATCTGTTTGTCTTGCCTAGCTCAGGTTTTTTTTTTAGACTGATGTTATCTGTTTCTATGAAGCGGGTGTCAGCCACGGGAGTATGACTCACTGTCTATTTTTCCCCGGCAGCATAAAATGGAACGTGAGTGGATCTTGAGCGTGCTGGAGGAAGGAATAAGTGATGGACACTGCTATGAATTGTGTGAAAAACAAGGCATCTTTCAAACCCTTTTAGGATTCAGCAGCAGCCCTCTGTGTGATGAACACTGCCAGGTACACACTGGGAATCACAAAGATGCAACATATTAGCAGTGGAGTCAAGACAGATGACAAACTAAACTAAAACTATGAAGAAATTTATAAACGAAGACCAGAACAGTCTAAAATTAAGCATACGAATGAACAGATTGATAAGCAGGTTTATGCTCTGAAATGCATTTCATAAGAAAACAATAAATGGAGTTATGTCTATATGCATTTATTTCACATGTATCTCCCTCTAGGCACAGATTATTAGGGTGTTGTGCAAGGCCACCCGTGTGACCAGAGCAGCTTATAACCTCACCAAGAGCTGTGGGCTCCTAACCTGGATAATACAGGTGGTTGAAAAAAGGTAAGCTTGAGAGTAAGGTCCAGTATTAATTTTGACTTTTACTATTACTATAATAATCTCTCGAGCCAGTGTTGTATTTTCTACATAAGTCTGTACTTATTATTCTCCTCAGGAATCTAGACCAGCAGCTGCTAAGTGCCATCATAGATCTACTCCATGTGCTGTGGTTTACTAATCTTGGGCAGAAGGAGAAGGAGGTGGATGGAGCCAAGAACTCCTCATCTGCAGAGGAGAAATCTCAGAGCTCAGTCAAGTGTCTCCCACTCCCACTAATCAGTGAATTCCTGTCTGTGGCATTAACTATCAGCAGACACCTCAGGTAAAACTATTGCTTGTTAAAGTTTCAAGTCACTCTTCAAGTACTTGACCCAAAACTTGTAATGATAAGTTGCACTGCTGACAAAAGTTGAGATGTCAGCAAAAAAAAAAAAAAAAAAAAATGTTAATGTCTTTTGGTCAAGGATGTCAGTGTTTGTTTGATCTCCTCCTGTCAGGTTGCATGTGAAGGCCGCTCAGCTCAGCCTGTTTCTACAGACGCTTTGCTCTGTGCTGAAGCATCGTGAGACCGCTCTCAATGTTAACAAGCAGGCTGACTGGCTAACACTCCACCCACAGCCTCTCTCTTGTACTGAAGCCCTCGCTCTGCTTCTCTCCTGGGCCTCACTGTCCCGCGATACAGCACTCCTTACCCAATTACAAGCCTTGTCTGAAAAGCACAAAGTCAAGGAATTGTTGGGTGAGTGCCATTAAATGTATCTTCAACAAATTCATACCAAGAAAATGTTGTCATGGTTGCTTTTCTGCCAAAGGGGAGGGACAAAATACATGTAATGGAAAAGGAGAACTATTATTAACAGTGCTGCAGTGGTGTTCTAACGGATTGATACGTATTTGTCAGAAGCCTTGAAGTAAGCCTTTTCATGAGTTTTACAGAAATTCCAAAATGATAACATCTGCCAAACTTCAACAAAAGGCATCAGCAAAGAGAAATAGCAATCATAAGGTGAAACTCAACAACATGAACATGACAGACTTATACTATGTATTGGTACTGACATCATGACAACCTAATATGACCCACTTTGTGGCAGTGTTTGTAATTGAGATATAATTACTTCCTAATTAATGTTTTTCACAAGTTGTTTTATCTACACTATTTCTGATGTATTTAAAGCATTTAAATAGCATTTAAATAAAAAACATAGAGTCAGAAAAACTGACATTAATTCCCACAATTTATGATTAATATTTTGATATTAGGCTTTCAGGGCCTCCATTGAAGCCAAGCCCATGTTAGAAAGTTTGCACCCTGCCACACTGTACCGTAAGAGCACATGTCAGTACATGCACACCTTGTTTTAACATTACAAACAGTGGAGAATTTAGAGCTTGGTTCCATATCACAGTATCTAAATCATATCAATCAGTCAGTCATCTAAATCTTTTATCTTTGACAGCAAACAGAACAGTTTTGTTCATCTTCCTCCTCAGGGATGGGGAAGGATAAGACCCGAGGTAAAGGCTCCTTTTCCAAAGCCCGCACACAAAAAGAGGACATGGCAGAAGATGCTGAGACTGAGAAACAAGAAGAGAGTCTCCTGGTAGCGTGTAAATTTGACCTCAGCGGCATCTTTGTTCACTGGGAGCCTGTGTTTCCCCTCTCTGAACCCCAGCCGGCTCAGCCAAGAGACAAACTAGATCCCACTCGATTGGCCGGTGATACAGCGCACCTGCTCACCAAGTGGTCCCTGAGGTGCATGTTGGAGGACTTGTATGATGAAAACAGAACAAAAGAATTCTTGCACTGGGTTGAAAAGGCTGTGATAAAACACAGGGAAATTGTGGATGTTGTGTTACTAGATCCTGGCTGGAAAGCAGACCTTCTTCGACTTTACCATCAGGCCTTTGAAGCTCAGTGTCACTCCAGCATTTCAGCAAGAATGGAAACTTTCCAGCTCTTTACCAAAATTATGGTAAACTTATTAGAGACCCAAGACTGCCTTCCAGTGCTGCATCAGGCAGTCATCTCTGCCTGCCTGCTAGAAGCCACACATGATCAGTCTCGCCGTGGTAAGAGCCTGACCTTATTTATTGATTCTGTCTACGACTGCTAGTGTGCAGACAAACAATACTATCAGTATTGTAACAATAGTTTACCTCACTTAAAAGCTCACTTTCCCACCCCATAAATGATATATGTTGTAGCATTGACATGCTGGAGTCTCAGAGATTTTGTTATCCAATGTTTAAGCAAGCTGGACCAGAAATTAAATTTCAAATATGATATTAAGATGTAAAATGATTTAAGGGTCCAAGATTATCAATAACTTTTCATGAAATTTGGTGAAATGTTGGGCTCTGCCCCAATGAACAAGTAATTATTTTTTAATGTAGATCTGGATCCAGGACTTCCTACACTGCAAGAATGTTTTTTACTATTAAACTTCGAATCGAATGAAAGAAATCACATATATGTGTCCTATATTGTACTTTTGCCAATTCAGCAGTGGACTATGAAAGTGAATAGACATTGTTAAGTTTTGCAACATTTATTGTTGTTCCCTTCATACACTTAATGTTAATGTGGTGGTGCTCGTACAAATAATTCAGTCATTTTGCACATTACTAGAAATCAGCTTAATTATATAGCGTGATATGTGCCACTTTTGCAATAAGCATGGAGGAGAAATCTGATTCTGACATGCCTACTTGATGAGGATAATTTATAGATGTTTAAATAGTCTTACATTATGGAACCTATGTTGAAAGCCAGATAATTACATCTTGTAAGAAGATGACTCAGTTGTCATATGTTATGTAAATAAAATCTTGTTTCTCCTTTCCAGAAGCAGGGCTATTGCTGTTGTCGCTGTACATCCATGAGTTGTGGAGTGGAGCCACATCAGCAGAGCTGTTCCTGTCTCATGTGAGTTTGGTGACCAGAGCCAGGTGTAAGAGACAGAAAGCATCCAAATCATCACTGACTCAAACAGCCATCAGAGCCATCTGTAATGACATCATCACCATGAAGAATTAGATATGACATCTGAACACTACTATGTTCTTTGAAGTAGACTTAATAACAAGAAAGCTTGTATTATTTCATTTTACTGAAGATATTTTATAAAATTCTGTTATAAAATGTTGATTTACAGATCTGTTACAAATTTGTGAATGTTTTTTTTTTTTAACATTTGGTTCCTGCATTACCTCACTTCAAAACTGTAATTGTATGCTAAATTTAAAGAAGGTGTTGTAGACTTAATTAAAGAATTTGATTCAATGCCGTAAAGCTGCCTTATTGATGAAGCACAAAATATACCTTTGCTCTCCTTGTACTTTAACATATAGGACACATGTACACAAACTGCTAAAGGATAATAGTTAGATAACATTTCATTTAATGTAGCCTTGCAGTTTGTAGGTATTCAGTGATATGGGAAGAAAGCAGAATCATTGGCTACTATTTTCCCATCATTCAGATTTTAAATGAGTGTCCATCACCTCAATTTTTAACATTTTTGTTCACATCCGTCAGGGCAAGCGTCGATGTTCTGTGACTTCCTTTGATTTTGGATCTGTGATACCTGCAGTAATAAGAACATGTAGAGTAGAGAAGTAGAGTTTTGTGACTATCTAATTTAGTACATGTGTATATGTATATTTCAGTGTTTCTGTTAGTAAACCTTCCATTTAAGGCAGATTTTGGAAGATTATGCATCACACTTACCTTGGCAAGTTTCCACTGCAAGACATTAGATTCAAACTGAGAAAGAGGAATCCCACAAAAGCAGCCAGAATGATCCAAAATATTATTACAATTGAGTCTGAAAGGGAAAATTGCTGTTATCCTTATGTAAGACAAGATACAGACAAATTTATTAAATTAAATAATTTACAAAATATGTAAAGGATAAAACTTACATTTATTGTATTTCAGCTTGCTCTCATCCACAATCACATCAAGATAATCATAATAGTATTCCCATTCACTGGTGGGAGTTCTCCATTACAGCCATCATCTCAGTTTGGGAGAGAAGTAATGCTGTCTCATTCCAAAAAGTTCAGATCCATTTAACAGTTGTGAAAAACAAAAGCTCTGTTGTTTCTAGCATCTGTAGAAAGTTAGTCTTGTGTATTTTAGTGAACCTAGATAAAAAGCTCTCTAATCCTCACCCATATGAATGTGTGTCTGCTGGACTCCACTTGTCAGTTCTGACTGTAGACTTAAGCAGACGCATGGGTGTGCAGGTATCGCCACAGGAGCACGTGACTGAACCATTCAACTGTGTGGGGGAAAAAACATTAAAGTAACCAATGAAACTACCTAATAGTGTGTCCTAGTGGCCTACTCTGTTGCAATGAATGAGTGGGTCTGATGGGGTGCACCTTATTACACCTTAGATTTTATAGTAAATTATTATCACTTTATATGTATGAGCTATAACATTTGTGGTCGGAAGCATAGTCTGTATATATAAGGGTCGGAGTTAAAAGTCATAGTACTACACACCCCGGTACACAAGGGGGCGTCCGTGTGTGAAGTTGAAGGTGTAATCTTTTTTAATTTGTATCGGGATTTCTAAAATAACAGCTACACAAGTACACAACGGAAACAGAAGATGTATGAGCTTTTTTTTCTATCTGCCATGGTCAGTAAAATTCCATAACTTTTATTAAGTCTCAGTAAGATTGTCCCACAGAAAAACAGGGGACCAATATTCAGGGTCTAGAGGTAGTTAAAGCTTAAAATAAAATAAAAACATTTGTCAAGTACAGCTTCACAAATTCTATAATTGGTTGATTTCATGTCATGAAATGGTTAATTATTGTCTATCCATAATTGTAGGGACAACATGCTGTGGTCAGGGTAAAGACTGTATATCAGGGCCTCAATTTCCTATCCCAGCACTTCCTGCTAATCACTTGCATATTTCTACTTTCCACCCAGATTACACATCACTTCTTGGGGGTCAAAGGTGAGGAAGACCCAAAGTGTGGTTCTTTCCTTGAAGAGCAATCTCCTCTTTTTATTACCCGACATTACTGTCGCCACCAGTGGCTAGAATTTCAGATGTTGGTGGATAGTGTATATATAATATATTTATTTGAGTCAATAAAAGACAATGTTACATTGATTGTGTGCTTATGGCTTATACATATTTTGTTTATTCATATTTTGTTTAGTTATGTATGTTTGCCTGTATGTATGTATGTCTTTCCCTCACGTAAATATCATGGGACTGTATGGTAAATATGCAACATGTTATTCAGAATAATGTGCTTTTCACTAATAGCTGGGACTATTGAAAGCATTTTTAAAAATATTACACAATGATACACCTCAAGCAATATTACATGATTTGGACAATTTCACAGTGGTAAAACTCCAAACAACCAAACCAGAAAATTGTTTGAGGCTGTTAACGGCTGCGGGTTGTGCATTGAATGACTCCTTTATAAAATGAATTTGCATATATGCTGTTAATCACAAAATTTACATAAAAGCTATTACAGAGATAAAATAGCCTGCATTAAAATAATGATTTTCTTTATTTTAAAAGGTACAGAGAAAATATATTGTTTTCAGTGTCAAGACATTTGTCAGGTAAAGCCATGCAGTAGTTTGCATAAAACAGCCAAAGAAGTATGTCCTTACAAATAAGTTTTGCAATTTGCATTAAGCAAGAGGTCAGCAGTTAACTGTCTTTGCCTTGAGCCTCCCCCTCCTCAGCCTCTCCTCTCTTTCGGCTTTCTCTCGGCTTAAAACCAAACCAGCTCCTGTCTGTCGCATCTCCTCACACCTCAGATTAGCTTCCCTCTCCTACTCTTGCGTCCTCTGCTCCTGCTGCTCCTCCAACCACTGCCTGTGGCACTGAGCACTGACAAACTCTAGTATCACTGTCCTCTGCAATGACAGAGCAGCTGTCACCCCAAACATCTGCGTTGTTTTATGTGTTATTTTATTTGATAAAACATTGTTTCCCATGACTTTTAGCAATGAACCCTATTTTACAGTCAAAAACATTTGTTAATCTCTTGCAAATAATGAATTGACCTCATATGAAAAGCAAAACAATGGTTTGTCCCCATCACTTTTTGAAAGCAAGTAAAAAATGTTGTGAAAAATAGCTTGCACCTAGAAATATTAACTGACAAATGCTTCTAGAAAGGTTTATTTGCACAATAAGAAAACATGCAATACAATTTAAATATAGAAGAAACTAGTGTGCATTGTCTAAATAGAGTAATTAGCTAAAAATAACAAGCAGCTGATTACTGCATTATATGCATATTATGTTTTTATATTTATAAAGTGTGTATGTATTTTAACATTTCCTCCATAAATTGGAGTAGAATTAAGTGTTTAATGCTCCAATTTTCTAGGGGAGGACCCCAAACACCCTGCTCATAAATTTCAGCATTTCCCATTTCTTTTAATAGTGTTAAAAATCTTCTTGTCTTGTTCTCCTGCATCGTCACGTCTTGTGATCCAAGTGTATCTAATCTGAGCCCTTGTGTCCCAACCACTTTTTAACACAAAGTGACGCCCTTGGCTTTGCAGTGGAAATGGTTAGATGAGGCCACGAACTGTCAGCACATATTCAAATACTTCTCTGGTGTAGTCTGGTAATGTTGGTTTATGTATATTTGACAAATGTATGTCGAGGATTACCTTTGGTATTACATTCAGATATAATCAATCATCAAATGTACATCAATGTAAGTCATATTTACATTGTACAATTGTACTAATTTAAAAATACCAACATAACATAAACATAATAGTGGTTAGACTTTGAGAGGTAACTGCAAGTTAAGTTGGTCACTTTATTGGCAATCAAGATGTGCTAAAGGGAACCCCCAATTGAATTTTCCAGTCAATTAAAAGTAAATGCCACTTTTCGTATGAAGGCAGCATGACCCTGTGACATCAGACGCAGATGAACCAGTACGTGACGAACACGCAAGGGGTGGAACTGAAGCAACCGCGAAGCTAGTACCATGAGCTAGTAGCTAGCATAGCAGAGCCTTGACCAGCAATGTGATCACATCAGAATATAATAGAGAAAATAGAGCTTGTCAGTGTCAGTGGTTATGTTGTTTGCTATATAACTAACGTTACAAATGGTTATGATTGGGTAGAGGAGACACGTTCGTCAACCGGTTTTCAAAATATCAAACCATCATGGATGCAGTTAACGCGTTCAACATGGAGGTAAAGTTTGCTGGTGTTTAATGTTACCTCAGTCCAAAGAGCTAAACTGTAAGGCTAACGTGAACACGAACTAACATCAGTTGGTTTAAGTTAATGCTAGCTAATTGTTTGATAGTTAAGCTTATGCTAATTATATTACACTTCAGCAGTTGTATTTTTTTAAGGAAACGTTAGTTCAGTTGAACAGGGTCGACTAAAACGTAAACATAGCTTGATTGGATTTGTTAGCCGCTAGCTTAAGCTGAGTTCAACGTATACGTTAATATTGCTAGGCCTGCGATTTCAGCGTCTTAACGTTATATCTTTGAGACCGCGATGAACTGTCAGCAGAAATGTTCAGGAAAGCTTCTGCAGCTTTACATCATACTCGTGTAAAAATGGTTACGTGTGCATTAAATGATTGGTTTATACGAATAAAGCTGTCGTTAACCAGCGCTGCTAACTACGTTACTAATGTTGCATGTTTTGAGGAAATTCAATGTCACTTAATCACGTTAATAACGCACCCCAAACCAACATGAGTCGAGCCGAACAAGTGACTTGGTTGTTTATTGTTGCCATCCGAGGACTTTGGACTGTCGTCATGCACGTCACTTTATTTTAACGTGTCTCTCTGTGGTGTTGGGGCATTATGCATTGATTTGTTACAGAGTGGTGTATTTGAAGTGACATATTTGAGTTGGGTGTTATATTAATCGGTGTGCTGCTTTCAAAACGTATAATGACGCTTTTAAAGACAAGCCCAGTGTACGAATCAAGGTATTGAAATTCCGTTCAACCCAAGTTTGACAAGACCGCTGGTCGCTAGTAAATCAACACCAGTGACCATTCACGTGATGCCTATATCTTACACATTCTCGTTGAAGTTGAGTGCCTTATATTTTAGATCAAAGCTACAGTAAAGGTCTCTTCAGGTATACATAAATTTACTCTTCTCAATCACAGATGCCTGAATATGGCTAAAGAGTGTATGTTGTTAATGTTTTACAAAGTAAGTAAAGAACAGATATCATATCTAGTTATACTGTCTGCACAGAAGAGAAATTCCGTAAAAAATATTTGTGAACACCCATGGCTTGTGAGAATGGGAATAATTTGTATTTGCCCCCCCCCCCCTCCCCCATGTTATAGCATACCAGCATTTTTACTTTTTTAAATTAACTGATGTCTTTCTTTTTTTGAAAACCATTCAGTTGTTCTCCATGATTGACATGAAGCCTCCAATATCCCGTGCTAAGATGATGTCTGTAACGAAATCGGCCATCAAAGCTATCAAGGTAAGGTCAATACTGTATCAATTTTATTGTCCTATTAAGGAGTGGGTAATACAAGTGGGGAACTCGTAGAGTTTTTGTCATTATACCCAAATCATTGTGACTTGTGATTTGACCAACTTTTGTAATATACAGTAAATAACAGAATAATGAGAATTTTCCTCATATGTCTTAAATGTTGCTATCTTTCGGCATTCAAAAATCACAAGTTAATTGATTGAAGAATTATCTCAAGGAATATTATACCTGTAAATTATAATTTTCACATGAATTACTTACCTCCAGTAATGTGGATTTCTGGGTGCAAAAGTTTGTACTTTGTACTAGGTAGTAACCATATTTCTGTGGCTGCAACTGACTGAGTTCTGGGTTTACCTCATTGGCTAGGGAATTTTGGAAGATAAGTATATCTATTCATATTTAAGTGAAAAGTGAGTGGAGATTTAACTCTTGGAAGATGCTTTGTAAGTAGTTTGCATACATGTTGGTATTATGTTAGA